AGTTACTACCCTAGAAGACACTAAAGCATCCAAAGCCTTTGTACAGATATAGTTCAAATAGCCCCTGCAGCGGTCAGTGGTACCCAGCTTGAAGCAGTGAAGTACTCAGGTGTCAGAGCTCATAAATTCCATAAATGTCTGGACTCTGCTTGTATGGCATCTTCCCCAGGAAGATCTCAAAGGGCTTTACAGTCACTGAGGAATTAGGCTCCCTTAGGAGGTGGGTAAAGAGAACTGCTGTTTTACACAGACTGAGTAGACAGAATCAAGCTAGTACCAGAGGAACGGTCACTCCCCAGCACTGCTGGGCACGCCAGTGAAAGGCACTTGTGCAGTGAAGAGCCACGTGCCCCGGGGTCTTACAGCTCCCCCCGGCACTGACCCACACCGCCATCTGCTGAGCCTCATCACAGCAGGACCGGGCGGAAACCCTCACCGGGGGCTTGTTGTCTAACAACGTGCCAGGCCTGTGCCGGGAGCGCCGTGGGATAGAGATACCACATCACCACCCCCGAGGGGTTAATAACAACCGAGAAGCTGTCTCCTGTCTTTAAGCCACTGATGGTCTTCCCACTGTACACGTCTTGTACCTGGAAGAGAGAGATGACGGCTACCAGGATTTCCACAGACCTTTCATCTTGAGGTACAGCCATGGTCACTGACATGGCATGGCAGGACCGGGCACAGCAGCATGCAACCGGAGGGTGACCTAACACATGGTTGCCCCTTCATCCTGGAGGCAGGGGGTCCTCGCCCCCCCCCCCCCCCCCAAAAGGTACACAGTATCAAAGGAGGGAGCTGGAAAGGTGCCAGGGGGCTGCCCTGCTATGCAGCGTGCCAGTGGGGCTCACCTCATAGACAGCATCCTCAGGGAAGTGGAGCTTGGCCAGGCTGGTGGTGTAGCGGAAGGGCATATCTGTCCTCCGGCTGAAGAAGACGAGGGCGCTGGCAGCCTGGGACAGCGGCCGCAGGAACACCTCGATGTGGGATTTCTCCTAGGGGTGGGTGAGGCAGAGCTGCTGGGACCAGTGCTGGCCCATAACTTCTGACCTTGCCCTGCAGGGCTGCTACACCAGCAGTCCTCAGCTCCCACAGCCCTCCTGCTCATGTTTCTCTGTATCGCTTCCCTTTCGCTCCTTATTGTGACACCCCGTGCTGTTCCTATCTGCTCCCCCAAATGCATCCACCTTCCCTCTAACCTTGACAATCCTGCGCCCCTGGATTCCCAGGGGGTCCTGGTTGATCTGGATCATCAGGCGGTTCTGCAGGATCTCCTTGGCGCTCGGGGAGATGGTGCGGAGATCTGTGGACATGAGGAGCGGAGCTGCCATCACTGTCCACAAGGCCATTTGGGAGCGTGACTGCTCATAGCTAAGGCCAAAGTTTCCAATGATGAGCTGGAGAGGAGAACGTGAAAAGACGGGAGAGGCAGAAAAGGGTTAGAAACTTGTCTGCTTGTCACTCTTGGTGATGCTGCAGCCTGCTGGGAGGAGCACGCATGGGAAACCTTGTGTGCACTTTTGCTTCCCCTTGACCAGCCTCCCACTGCCTGGAGCACCCGCCCCTGCCAGGTGTCGAGCAGTCAGCGCACATTCAAATGCCCTCACTAACACCCTTCACTTCACCACTATAACCCCTCAGGCTGTGCAGGGAAGGACAAGGACACCTGGCCAACTCAACAGGTATACTCAAGTGGCGAAAGGTTCATTGCAACCACAGGCTTTTCTCACAGCTTAGCCAAGGGTAACACAAGTTTTGCCTCTCTGCAGCAAGAGGGCTTCTGCTCCCGGCACTCTTCCTTTGCCTTTCCCCTAGAAGGGGATCCCTGGAGATTCCCTGTCCCCAGCCAGGGTCAGTGCACCCACCACCCAGACGCACCATGTCTGGGTCATTCCAGTGGCCAGGGCCAGCTGCCGGCTGCAGCACGTCCTGGTTTGCAGAGAACCAGTCCAGGATGGAAAGTACACTGTCCCAGGAGTCCTGGATGTCGCCGTAGTTACGCCACAGGTTGCAGAACTCTGCCAGGATGGTGTAGTTCACCTGCAGAGGAGCACAGGCTTAGGCAAGAGGGACAAAGGACTCGATCTGCAAGGTCACGGAGAAGGGGCAGCCTGACTTGTTGAAAGCTGCAGCATCCAGAAAGTGTGTGAAAGGCTGGGGGAGCTGGAGAAGGGCAACATCATGTAACAAAAGGGGACAGAGTCATAGCCCAGTATGACTGGGCATATCACAATACGATAGGTTGTCTGGCAAAACAACCACAGAAGCCATGGGGAAATAGAATCAGCTGCAAGAACGAGGGCCGTAGAAGAGGAACTAAACAAATGCAATCAATTCTCAAGAAATGTTAGTAGGAGAAACATGCTATTTCAAGCATTTAAACCAGGGAGGACCAATCTCAGAACAGACTACCAGGATCAACCCCACACAGTTGAGCAGGGTGGAGAGGGCACGCCCCAGGGCCTTCTTCCCTCAAATTCCCACCACCTAGCCATGCTGGGAACCCCAAGTGTCCCCAGATGCCTGGTAGGGAGGCCACAACCCCTCCAGGGACCTGCAGCCCCATCCTACCAGGGGCAGAGCGATAAGCAGAGTGTAACACCTGGCTCCAGCAGCTCCAACAAGACCTCCCCCAGGGCACAGGGGACATGGGAAACAGACACTGGATGGGACAATCCTCACCTTGGGGGGGAGCCCCCCCTGATACGCTGGCCAGCTGCAGGAGTAAACGATGGGGCGGCCTGTGGCATTCAAGGCCCTCGCCATTTCTGGGTAGCCTTAGGGAGAGAAGATGACAACTGATGAAGGGGGCAGCTGGCAGCAGCCTGTGTCCCAGCCTGCCCGGTGGGGGGGACCCCAGACCAGCCTGACCTCCTGCCTTACACCAGCTCTAGGGCACCCAAACTCCTTCCTCTTTGCCCAAGAGCTACAACAGGACACTTGAGGGAAGAACTGGCTGGCCAAGTGTTTCTGCGGATGGCCAGCTACCCTGACTGAAGCAGCAAGGGGAGAAACACCAGGTGGCCAGGGAGCCTTTACCCTTCGCCTGCTCCTCTGCCGACGAGTAGCACCCATCCAGCTTCAGCATGTCCACACCCCACTCTGCAAAGGTCTGGGCATCCTGCTCCACACAGTCCAGCGTTGTGCCTGGGTAGCCCGCGCAGGTGAGGGTGCCCAGGTCACCATAAATGCCCAGCTTCAGGCCCCGGGCATGGACCTGCGAGGAGAGGAGAGCTGCAAGGAGGGGAAAAGAAGGGTCCGAAGTGCCTCCCAGGGATCAGGCTCCTCCATCCCCTCCCAGCTCTCCTGCCATGGCAGTATGGGGACACAGACATCCCCACTCTCCCCAGCAGGCACTCACGTAGTCAGCCAGAGCCTTAATTCCACTAGGAAACCTCTCAGGATCGGGAGCCAGCCGTCCCGCTGCATCCCGGTGCTTGGCAGACCAGCAGTCATCAATGTTGATGTACTTGTAGCCCAGCTCCCTCC